TTGGCTTTTGAGATGCGTAGGGGTCCAGGTGCTTTGCGGGTGACTCTGAACAATAGAAAGAGGGGCAACCGTAATCGAAAAATGTCAAAAATTTTGTTCCGTTCGGTAAACGCGACGCCAACAGATTGTGTGGAGTCCCGTAACCCTCTCTCAAGGCCTTCTGGCTCGAGAGTGGCGGTTTGTTGCCGGCACCCTCCTCCACAAAGAAGGCGCCTTGGCTCCCCTAGGCCGACCGAAGGGCATTAAGCATGGCATCAAGATCATGCTCTGCCTCGTCATCATCTAGTCGGGAATCTGCGTCACGTTTTCCGTCTTCGTCATCGTCCGTAAGTGGATCATTATAACCAAGGTGTATACCCTTTCCTCGGGCGCGATCTCGACCTTTCGAGGCCCTACGGCCAACCGCCTTTCTGAATCTCTCTCCAATGGGGGCCCGCTTATCCTCGTACAAAGGTCCTTTGAGGGTAACTCGTTTTCCTGATCATGATTTTTTTTGATTTGGCCCGACAATCTCGAGCCCAATGACCTGTCCTGCCGCAATTGCAGCATATATTCTCACGTTCGCGAGCAGCGCCGACAAAATATCCTCCGCAGTGACCAATGTCAGGGCCGTAGTCGGCTCTGCTGTTTACACAATGCGCTGATCCTTCAAAAGCTTTATTCACAGTACGGTCATCTTACTGAGGATTACTGACCTGCGGTGGTGTTTGGCCGGCTGCGGCGTCATAGAGCAACTTGGGAGTTGTACCAGTCACACTCGCTTCGTACCATGGTGCAGACGTTCCTTGAAGTGTGATGTTCGTACTCGGCAAGCTATAGGTAGAGTTCTCTACAGCACTACGGTTGAACAGCTCTGCCCGAGTAATCGCTTTCTCCATTATCTCGGAGGTACTGCACTTAGCGATGCTGTCTTGTATCTCGCTATAGATTTTCGGCTGGTACGTTCTCAGCTTTTTCAGCAACATGGCTCGGATAACTCCTGCGTCACGTTGTTTGAAGGAAAACTTATACAAAGCGTCCCGTACCCTCCAGCTGAATGCTAAATAGTTCTCATTTTGCTGCGGAAGAATGGTCATGAACTGCGTATAGTTTGAAAATAGCAGCCCACGGTCGAAGAGAATTTGCAGGATTCCGAGAACGAGAAGGGTCCACGTGCATGCACGGGCGCCTGCCTACATGGCAACTTGTTCAAAATCTCCGCCATCTCTAGGGTGACCCTACTAGGCCAGAGGTGATACGGCACCATGGCCTGCTATAGGAGAACTTGGATTCGCTGGAGCTTACCAAGCGTCATATGGTACGTTTTCGTCAGTTGTAATTCCTTTGGTAACATGACCTTGTTCCTGCTAGTAGCTTCACATAGATCGAACTTGCCTTCTAGGACCGTCTTGGGGAAGTATTTCTTGACGTAGAGTTCCCGTTCGGTGGGCTCTCGGGTCCTAGTAGTGGTGGGCGGTGCGAAAAAATTGTAACGCGTGAAGGGTTTTAGACCATTGGTTTCTTGATTTGAGATTTTGTGTACCGGATTCGGGCCTGATTCCTCGATGGTGGTGAGGTGGCGGCTTGCAGGTCTCCTTCCTCGGGCTGCTTGTAGTTCCTACGGCCTCCCGCATCCTGAGAACGCCATTAGCTATCCGAACATCCTATTCTAGGCGACACTCTTTCCCATGTTCCTCCACATTGGTTCCGGGTGTATGTAGGACTGGGGGCGTCATGAGGCGCTCTTTCCACAGATGGGCGGGGTTCCACAGGAGCTTTATCCACTGCAACCCTCGAGCGTGCCTCCAACAGGCGCTTAATCTCATCCATGGCGTCTCTCAAGTCCGACTTGGATGCAAGATTGTCAATTTACTTTCCATAATCGACCATCGTAGACTCCACACGCGAGAAACGGTCGCTGATCAGGTCAAACTCATTCTGTACAGTGTTGGAGAGCTCCTTGAACTGCTGTTCATTGCGTTCGAGTTTTCCGTCCAACTGGGTGGACAGGCGGTTCACGCGCGCATTCAATTGCTGAATCGTGATGGTATTCCCATGCAGATTGCCAGCGGTGAGAGTCTGTTCATCGGCCTCCTGCTTGCCGGCCTTGGATGACTCTCCTTCCATCGCTGCGAAAATTTTGATGACTGGGATTTACCCTTAAAAATAGCTATTTTGTGGCTTTTCGAAATAAATTCACGCACAACAGTGTTAGACCACCTCTCTCACGACCTTCCGACGTTCCACAGGGAATCAACGAAGGTGCGGTGTGAAACTGAGGTATTGTCTAAGGTATCTCTATCTCCTGCGGTCGAGCGACGAGGAGCCGCTCTTGAGCCTTAGTTTCTACCTCACCTCTTCCAAGGCACACATGAAGAGCTTCAATTGGGGAAAACTATTCTGCACCATTCATACTTACGAGGAGTCATCACACAACACAGAGCCCTCCTCATCCTCATCCTTCCGCTTCTTACTCAAATAACCCTTCTTCTTATTCTCCACTTTCCTCTCATAACCCGACTTCGTACTAATCCTCTTATTCCTTCCCTCTAACCCATGCTTTTTCAACTTCTCTTTAGTCCTTTTATCCGGCTTCGGCAAAGCTTTCAGCCACTCCTCTTTACCCGCAATCTGAACCAACGGCTTCAGGACATCCAAATCTTCCTTTGCGCAGAGGGTAATTGCGACGCCTGACCGACCAGCCCTTCCAGTACGACCGACGCGGTGCACGTACGCTGCTCCACTAGTGGGGATGTCGTAGTTGACAACGGCGTTGACTCCGCGAAAGTCCATGCCCCGTGCCAGGATATCAGTTGTGATGAGGACCCAGATCTCAGCGGCCCGGAAGCGTTTCATGACGTCTTCGCGCGCGGTAGAGGAGAGCTCGGCATGTAGAACAGCCAGTCTACGCGATCCGCCGGCTTCAGGGGGAATGTCGTAGCGGAGCTCGGAGTGTAAAGCTGCGGCTCGTTCAATAGTTTGGGTGAATACGAGATAGGGCAGGGGCGGGAGGGAATTTGTTTGACCGAGGGGGTGGAGTAGTTGACGAAGGCCCATTAGTTTACCTCGTTCTGTAGCCGCGTAAATTAAACGATGCTCTACATTGGCGACTGCTGAGCCCTTAATACCAACGACTAGCCGCATCACGGGCTGGTCGAGCTTCGTCTGCACGAGCTCCTCGATGTTGCTGCCCATTGTTGCCGACCACAGACTCACTTGGATTGAGGAAGGCAGTCGATTCCAGATGGCGACTGTTTGATCTCGGAACAGACGATCTAGTAAAATGTCACCTTCATCGAGAACAAGATGCTCGACGGTAGAGAGAGTGATGTTATCATTCTGCTCCAACATACTCCACAGAATACCGGGAGTGCTTATTAGGATGTGGGATTTTACTGTGGCGCCTTCCTCACCCGGGAGCTTCATGCCTTTGCGCACTTGAGAGATGCGCACGGATGTCCCCGCTGCCCATCTTTGGCTTTCGTTTACAATTTGTCCCACAAGTTCTTTGGTTGGGGCAAGGACAACTGCCTTTGTGGTGGGTGTGAGTTGGCTGTGGGAGAGTTGGTGTATTAGCGGCAACATGAATGCAAGAGTCTTTCCACTTCCGGTTGGAGCAACGGTCAGCAGATTTCTAGTCGGGTGTTTTAGAAGTAGCGGAAGGGCGACCATTTGGACGTCTGACGGTTGGCTGAAGCCCTGATCTTCCACGTTTGAAACCAATTTTCTGGCGATTCCATGGTCGCGCAGTTCACCAAACGTCCGTAGAGGCGTAGGATATTCCAGTTCCTTTTTTCCTGCATTCAGCCATTTGACTTTGATCTTGTGCTCTCGAAGCAGCTTCTTGGTTTCGTCGGGGGAGAGCGGCGGCAACTGGGGAGCCGCCGAAGTCTTTTGTCTTTTTTTCTCCGTCGCCTGCGGTTCTTGATTATCGCGCGGGCGCTTGAGGTTAGACGTGCGTGAGAGCAGCTTGAAGGGGTCCATAATCAACTATCAGAATGCCCTGGTCGACTGCACTGTCTGTGGAAGCGGTGACGTCGGAGAATTCCGGGCGCGTTCTAACCCTAACTGACCTCCGCCGCTGGACCGCGCCGACACCCCCGACCTCGTCGACCTTCTTCATATCTCACAATGCGCGCCAAAGCCCTCCTCCTTCGGCAGTCTCGTCTAGCTTTCCAGCGTCGCGGCCAGTCTACGACAGGGGATGCCGCCGCCAAAGCCCGGGAAGGCGCCTCTGACATGGCGGGAAAGGCCCAGCAGGGTCTCTCGCGCGTCACCAGCTCGGCTGGCAGCGTATTGAGCAACTCTGCCTCCACTGTCAGCAAGACTCTGTCGAGCGTGGGTGGCCGCACAGGCCAAATTATCCAGCTGGTACAGCGTAAGGGAATCCATGGATATCGACGAAAAATGGCTGATCCGCACAGGCATGATTCCTCCTACGACCTACTACATGCGCGTGCTTGGCGAGCTTTTCAAGTTGACATTCCAGGCAAGGAATATGGCCCCACCGTAGGTTATCATCGGCAGCATTTTGGCTTAGCTAACAGACGCAAGAACGATGCAAACAATCGAGCGATACATGGGTAGTATGCGTAATTCGCTGCGCAACCCCTCCAGCTTGATGCAACAGGCAACGCGAACGGCCGAATCGACGGGAAAGGAGGCGGTAAACAACCCACAGTCGCTCATGTCTCGCGTGCGCAACATGGACTCGGCAACCATGACCAGTATGGCCGTTGTCGCTGCTGAACTACTTGGCTTCTTTTCCGTTGGCGAGATGATTGGTCGGTTCAAAATTGTCGGTTACCGGGGCGAAACCCACCACTAGATGTGTTATAGCAGCCCATGTACTAGAACGGCTTCAACTGTACCTTTGCCATCGAGCTTATTAGTTTCACCCTGCGTAATCTTTTGATCTAATGTCTGAGTGATCTCCAACGAAACAAGGATTGTTTATGCGAAAATTTGACAGCAGTAAGGTCAGTATAATTACTTTCAATGTATCTCTCTTAACATGAAATGGTCGGTTAGCTCAGTTGGTTAGAGCGTGGTGCTAATAGAATTCCAACCAAGATTCTTGCAACGCCAAGGTCGTGGGTTCGACCCCCATACTGACCAAAATGATCTTTCTTTTTGCCATTAGATTCTCTTTTTTAAAAATATCTTGGATGCTGCGTACTAACCATACTAAGTCCTTTTGGGAGGAACTAACCGTCAATCTGACAGACCATCAATTCCGAGAATCAGCCGGGACGGGAAGAACTTCTCTATGCATTTACGTCTCCCACAATCAATGTTACACTCTACAAGTCAACCCGGAAATCCACTACGCTTTACAACAATGCAAACTGCGACATGATGCCTTGCAGCTGTGGCTCATTTCTAGGTGCATGTCAATCGACCTGCAGCGTGGGGGTTCATGTTGTGGCATCCCATTGAGGCAATCTCAACACCGGTATTTCGAGCAGCATCTAATGGCGAGAACTTGGTTGAATGCCTGCATATACTGGCTGCCATCAAAATCTGCACAGGAGGATCAGCCCTGAGCAACTAACATTTTCGGAGCAATGAGGGTCTTCGGCATTCGAATGAACTGAGAGTACCGTATGATCGGTTAACGGGCGTTCGGAGAATGGTCAGCCGACATGTAGTTCACCCCACTTAGCCGAATTCTTGGTTAAATCTCCCCTTTCATGCCAGTGGAGGAGGTCATAACTTGGAGTAGACACGAGCAATCTTGGTCGACAGGCCCTGAATGACATACGGGAGTTACCGACTCTGATCATGGCGCCACTCTGCACTGCCACATCGTTCGCTATAGCATCCCTGCCGAACTATTGTCGGCGTGGAGTCTAACCTTATTCTTTCCATTTTAGCAAACTCCAGACGACGTTGCTCAACCTCTGTGTGGAAGACTCGACAGATTAAATCTTGATGTGTGGCGTTTTACTTCTTCTATGCCTAATACTGGAAAAGCAGCATCGGAGCTTTTTTTCTACAGGTTCATACCGACATTCCGATGGTAAAATCTCAAAGCTCCAACTTGGTTTCTTCGCAGTCTCCTTGTACCTGACTTTATCAATGCCAAGCGGAGATCTAGGTGGCGTTCGTCTTACGCCACATTCGTACTCTAGCTGTCAGGCTCGTTGGTACCTGTTCAGCTTCAACGACTGACAAACTTCAATAGTAACGGTGGTGCATCCACCTGCGCCTGCTAAAAAATGGGCCTCGGATGCAGACATCATAATGTCCGCGAGGCAATGCATTTGTTGATTCATATACTTCTCTCATGATGCCTAACTCCCACCCTCAAACAGCATGATTCCATGGCTGGCCCTGGCTTCTTTCATTTGGTAAGATATCTCTACAAGGCAGGGTGTGGTATTCATATCCCTCAGGCTTTTCAGGTACCTGCGGTTAATAATAAATTGCCTTTCTCATTGGACATATCGATCGACACCACCCCTGGAGAAGTCTTCCTATAATGCTCACGATGTGACGATAATAATGCCAACTATTTCCTTCGATTTGGAGCAGATTCAAAGAACTATTCGATCTTGTCTGGCGGCAGCTCAGTGCGAAATCATTCTTGTCGGAGTTGATGCCAACGTTGCCTTCCTAACCGGAATCGCCCAAGCAATTGGCCCAAAAGTTCGTGTCCTCTGCACACACGAGGCTAACAAACGAGGTCAAATTTGCCACGCTATACCTCAAGTCCAAACACCAATCACAATCTTTGTCGACGATGATGTTATCTGGCCGAACACGATTATGCCATGGCTGCTTGCTCCGTTCCATGACGAGCAGGTTGGCGGGGTCGGAACCTCGCAGCGTCTAGTCCGTTCAACCAGACAAAGTGTCTGGTTCTTCCTCGGCGCTGCCTACCTCGAGCGCCGCAACTTTGATTGCTCAGCCTGTCTGCACATTGACGGCGGACTCCCATGTCTATCAGGACGAACAGTCGCCTATCGCAGCGAGATTCTCCAAGATCCAGCTTTTACCTATCACTTCACGCACGAGGAGTGGCGGACTTGCCAGTTAAACACCGATGACGACAACTTCCTCACTAGATGGCTGTTCAACCATGATTGGAAAATTGCCATGCAGTACCATGCCGAGGCAGAGGTTCAAACGACTTTGGCGGAAGGCCCACTCTACCTCACGCAATGCCTGCGTTGGGTGCGAAGCAACTGGCGAAGTAATTTGACTAGTCTCATTGTCGAGAGAAGGTGCTGGCGCACGCATCCTTGGACCACATATGCCGTTCTACAAACTACCCTTACCGCATGGGCCTTGCCTTACGATTTGCTAATCGCTTGGGCGTGGTATCGCGCTATGGGAGCAATGTCCCTTTACGATGCGAAGATTGTTCTGTTGGTTCTATGGTTCGCATTCAGCAAGACCGTGAAGCTATGGGGCCACTTCTATCGCTATCCGTCAGATATCATCTTCGTGCCCGTTTACATTCTATTTGGGTACTTTCACGGCGTCATCAAGTTCTATGGACTGCTTACCTTGAGTGAAGTTAGTTCGATCCTGATCGCCGTAAGACTATGCTAACGTATGATAGACGAAGTGGGGCAGTCGTGCCGAAGCAGACACGGACGACAACGTCCGTATGATCAGACTCCCGTCGTATCAGGAGCAAGACGATAGTCACAATCACCGAGACTTTGCCATGTTGGAAGACGAAGAGACGAAGGTGTCTAGTGAGGAGCTGCCTCCTTACCCGACCATGAGCTTGTGAGTAATGATAATGAGAGTGAGAAGTGGGATTCTCTCCAGCAATTGACTGCTCGTGTATTCTAGTTATCATGACGCTTAATGAATAGATTATGACTTTCACGGCCAAAGTCGGGCATGAGATGACTGGTGCCTCTTCATTAGTGGAAAGAATCTCTTATTCACTGACTAACATTAGGCATAACAGCTTATGCTCCTGCCTCGAGCTCCTTCTCTTGGATAATAACCGCTCTCCTCTCGCAAAGAAATCCTTATCCTTACCCGCACCTTTACCCACAATTTTTACCATCTCACTCTATCATCCATTGTTTACAGTCTTCAGTACAGCAAGCTCATCATGCCTCGCAAGCGTGGAAAGCCCAGCCGTGGTCCAAGGTTCCCGATTGAATCGTCCGATGAGGAGGAAGGCCCGCCGAATACCCGTCATGGAGCCTTTCATAGAATTGAAGACAGTGATCCTTCTAATAGTCAGGGCAGCCCTTCCAATACACATGGCAATCCTGCAACTATTCAAGACAACCCTTCAACTACTCAAGGCAACACTTCCAACCCCCATGGAACGAGTCCCTCCACTGAAGGCGACCTCTCCATTACTGAAGAAAACACCACCTCCAGTCCTCCACAACCCCGCTCCCGTAACCCCCTCCGAAGAATTCGCCCCTCGCCTTTGCTAAGAGAAGGCCCCTTGATCACCCAACAAGCCAACAACTCTCCCAATCGCACTATATCAACCACAGTCGAAGTCACAACTCAACCCACCCAAGCCCAGCCAAAGGAGACGTCTACCCGCCGCTCAAAATTCGCTGCAGCCGCGATGCGAGTCTTTCACCGCCACTTTGAGCCTTCTGCGGAAGAGGGACGCAAAGTACGCTCCCACTCTGAACCCCCGCTACGCGAGCGAGGAAGACTCTTTAAGCGTTCGATTGCGGGCTTGAAGTGTGATGGTAAAGAAGAAAATAAGGGTGATTATCAAGGTGGTGATAAGAGTTATGATAAGGGTGGTGAAGATGAGAAGGTTGATGAAGAAGGGTATGAGGGTGATAAGAGCAATTATGCGAGCCTTTCTCCGCGCATCCCGCACCTACGCCTTCCTCCTCCTCCTCCTCCTCCTCCCGCCCAATCACCTCCGCCGCATATCCCCCCGCTTCGCTTCCCTCCCCTCGGGCCATCTCCGCCTCCCCCTCCTCGAACTTCTTTTAGGGGGTATGGCTTGTTTGGCTCATGGGAACAGGGAGTGGTTGCGACGCCGTATGAGGCTATGACTATTGGAAGGGAGCCGAGGATTGGTCCTGCTGGGAATCAAGTTGATGTTAATTCACCAGCTAGGGGTTCTGGAGCTGGGGACGCAATGGGTGGGGATCAGCCGGCTGGGAATCAACCGACTGTCTACTCGCCGAGCAGGGGTTCTGGAGCCGGAAATCCACAGACTTGGAATCAATCAATCGTCTATATACCCACCTGGAGTTCCGAAGTCGGGAATTCACAGGCAGGGAACCAACTGGCTGTCTATACTCCTTCTAGAGGTTCTGAAGCCGGTCAATCACAGGCCGTTGCTCGAGCATCCAGCAATCAACCGGCTGCCCATACACCCACCATAGGTTCTGGGGCCAGGCATCCATCATCCAGCAGCGAGCCCCTCTCCCCCTCCCCTCCCCTCGGCCCTGGCGCCAGCCATATCCATCCCGTTGCTCCAACACCCTCCGTTCCCTCTCACCTCATGGGTTCAAGCACCACCCCCTCCCAACCCCCTCTTCCAGGCGCAGGCTATCCCTACTCAACCCCCCGCTCCCCCACCCTCCCCCGTGGTTCCGGTTCAGGCAACCAAGCCCTCATCCACCCTACTATCACGTACTCCTCTTTTGTCAACCCAAATAGAGTCTCGAACCCGCCCGTGAGGAATCCTCCTCTGAGATGGCCCCCTTCAGAGTCAAGACAAAATTCGACGGCCATGGAGTATCCGGTATTTTATAATTCGGGGATTAGAAGGGAGAGTTTGGGCTCTGTTTTTTATGCGACGAGCGAATCTGGGGAAGGGGATGTGGGGACTGGGGAGGGAACTTGGGGGAGGAGGCAGCAGCAGAGAACTGGGGATATTCAACGGCAGGAGAGAGATGCAGGAACTGGACAGCCTACAGGGACTCAGTGTTATGTTGTGCGGACTACGGAGGAGCCTCCCATGGTTCGAATTCTGTGGGATCAGTTTGAGTGGATTCTCAGGGTCGAGGATTCAGTGCGGGGTGTGAAGCAGTTACAGACGGCTGTTGACCCGATTGATGGGGAGACTCAAGGTCAAGGTGATGCTACCGCGGAAGGTCAGGGTCCAGACGATGTTGCCGCTGCGGAAAGTACGGAGCAGCAAATGCCGTATCAGGGAC